TGGCTAAAAACCTATGGACAACTCCTCTGCAGTGTTGCCAAGTCCGCGGTTTTCCTACTTTAACACTGTTGCCGCGGGTTGTTTTTCATGTCCGCTGGTTGAAAAACGACCCCAATAACGTGATATTTAGTCGCTGGAATGCGAATTTTACCAGGGGAACCCCGCCAAAACACGTGTATTTTATCCCCGGAACGCGATTTTTAACGAGGGACCCCCTCGAAACGCGATTGGGGGGGTTTTGTTGTGAAAACCTGGCAACCCTGCTCCTCTGGTTCTTATTTGTTGTTTACAGGCTAGTGCTGTTACAGAGCTGTTATTTCTCAAGGCACAAATCTGCTATATGTCACGTAATGGGGGTATTTTATGTTTGCTATTAAAAAAAAACAGTTTGCAGAACTTATTTGAGCCTATGTGTAACAGACATAGATTGTAAAAAAACAACAGAACAGAGCACTGTGGTCTGTCGTCTCTGTGTCTCCCCCTGTCGGTGGTAAGGAGTCACTGCCACTACAGATGTTTTCTTTTTTCTTATTTCACCTCCTTTCCTCGTCTCGTGCCCCCGCAGACAGGGAGAGCGAGCGCGCGCCTCCTCCTCGGCCTCGTCCTGAGCTCGTGGCTCCAGCGCTGCCACGTAATCTCGCTCGAGCCCCCGCTCGCTCACTCAAAGCCTCTGGGAACCGAGACAGCGACTGCGGAAGATTAAAAACACTCTGTACGAAAGCCCTCCGGCGGGTGTAGCGGAGTGCAGACTGCTGCGGTAAGCGAAAAGCGCGTGGAAGTGTCCCCACGCGCGCGGCGCGAGCGCACGAGACGCAGTCCACATTTAGCGCGAGCGCAAGCAACAGGGCGATCCATGTGTGTGAAGTGGAGCCGGATAGTTTTCAAGTCGTTTGCATGCAACAGGTCGTTGATTTGTTGTCGGCAGCAACTCGTTTGACGCGCCGCAACTTCGATGCAGAAGAGAAAGTGTGCGGCTCCTCCTGCTGTCATGCGCTGGATTTCTAGTATGTTCTGTACTGTATTAGCCTGATCTGAGAGCTGGACTGGGACTTTACTTTTCTCAAAGCCAGTTTTAGTGTGTTTTGAGCAGAGATACTGAGAACTGTAACTTTTGTTTTCATGTGCAGAGAAGTTCAACACAAGATATCACAACTGTACAACTGATTCATTATGTGACATTGTGAATCAGCATGAATTTACAGTATGACATATCATGTTCATGTTGTGCTGTATTGTGCTTGGTGGGTTTGGGATGTTGTGTAGCTTTGTTATAGAGTGAGTTAAGGTAATCTAGCACATTATTAACAAGTTGTCCACCAACAAATGAGATTTCATCGAATCAACCTATATGGTAATGTTTCACATTAGACCAATATAGTCAACATTTGAAGTGGATCAAAACCTTTCATCAAAGTTGTCCTAAAACCAAAATGCGTTCTTGTCTTAGGACAACTTTGATGAACTTTTTTGATCCACTTCAAATGTTGACTTCTGTATATCATCAGCCAGGTCAATAATAGAACATCATTTTGTGGCATTGTGAATTAATAAAACATTTTAGCCATAGAAGTTTCTGAATTAAATACTTTTCTAGTTTGTGAGCAAATCAATTCATTTGAATTGGTTCTTTTCATTCCCAGATGTCCCAGATTAACCGAACTCACCTGAGCTGATCTGCAAGAAACTACGTTGACTTGGGTTTTGTTTGTAAAAGTGTTTAATTGAACTGTGTATAGGTTTTTTACCCCCTCAAGTACGTAGTTAATTATGGGACACACTTAATGTGCACACAAAATCAAAAAGATTCAGGATACAACACCCAGTTCCTGTTTGTCTGGGTGGGAATTGTGTCCGAGGCTGCTGTTCTGCTTCATTCTGTATGTGTGCGCGCTGCTGCATTCCCACATTCAGATTTCTTACTGCTGGCCTTTGCTCAGTTGCCATGACTACGGGTGAAAAAACTTACTAAAGCTGTGAAGCCACAGATATGGAGCAATATTTCATATTATTTTGTAGGGACAGCATCCTACAGTGTGACATGGTATACTCAATGTGAAACATTTTTCAATTATTATGCACGCACAATTTATATAACATACTTAAAAATTAATTTGTTCACACTTCAGGATCATGTAATAGAAAGAAAAAAAAAGTTTTATGTATGAATAATATATTCATATTATCATTTATTAATAAGAGTATTAATATACACTCCTAGTATCCTCCTTATCAAAATGTAATAACTTACTGTGCCTCTGAAACAACTTTTCTGCTGACTTCACAATCCAGTCAAATCCTAATGGATGAAATCAAGTTCTTTTAATAATTATTAGTATGCATGTATAATTCATATGATGTACTTAAAAATTAATTTGTCACACTGCAGCATCATTCAACGGATTAAAAACCTAAAGTCAACAAAAAAATGTGTATTATTTATTAATGATATATAAATATGATCATTTATTAAAGGTATATATTAATTATTTTTTAATATACATTCCTGGTACTGTTGTGCAGAATTCATCAGTGCACATTATTACAAAACAAATCTTTGGAATTACAAGTTAAAATCCAATCAAATTTCACCCTATCTTTTTCTCATTAAATATTCTACGTCACTCTTAAAAATGTGTCGACCACAAAAAGCATCTAAAAATACATTTTACGTTTATGTACATTTAAATCTGAAATCAAAATTTTTGAATTTTTTTAGCTACTTAGTCATTAATTACTTGAGAAGTACATTGCTACAACTTTACAAATGTTTATTTATGTGCTTCAATTAAAAAAAAAAATCTTAAATTGTATGTGTTTTCACAGGACCGTGTATTTTGGGTTTTCATCTGGGCTCGCCGGTGACCCGCTGTGTGGAAACGCACTGAGCCATGCGGCAGTTGAAGGGCAAGGCGAAGAAGGAGTCGTGGAAGGACAAAAAGGAGCGCAAACAGGCCATGCAGGAGGCGCGGGAGCAGGTGACGACGGTCGTTCTACCGACGCTCGCCGTGCTCGTCCTGCTCATCGTCCTCTTCGTTTACGTGGCGACGAGACCCGGAGCCATCGAGTAAAGACTCCAAACAGCCAAATCTCCCCTGTCCTCGTCTTTCTCTTTCATTTCCCCTCGTTCCTTCCCAATGAATGAACTGGACATGGATGGATTGATAAAGGAGTGGTTTTCAGTGCCATGTTTGGAGTGTGTTAAAGGAGTCTTCCGTTTTATCTTCTGAAAGAGCGCCTCTCCCAGCCACCAGCATTCGTGTCTGTGGTGGCCATGTTGGCTCCAAGCATGCATTTACAGGGTTCTAGTTTCATGCCAAAGCACCTGAGACGCAGCAGACTCGGACTGACCCAGGAACCTGGCCAGATCTGATGCCTCTGTGCTCAGTACAAATGAGAAGTGACTGTAGGATTGCACATGTCTGTAGCATGCAAACTTATGCGCACACACACACACACACACACACAGATCCACAAATGAACATTGTTGGACGTCACAAGAAACCATTAATGACTGAAATGAATGTTACCCAGAATGTATATTTCTGAATGCTCCTTACCGAATGCCTCTTAACAAGCAGTTGCTGATGTCTTTGGCTGAAGTGTGTGTGTGTGTGTGTGAGCAGATGCACCATGGAGTGCATGTTTCTATGACACATCTGTGATATACAATCCCAGCAGCAAACATACTCTTATTTTAAAATGTATTCCAGCAGGACTTGGATCTGAAAATGTGCCTTAACTTTTAATGACGTAACAGCGTTTGAAGTGTTAATAAAGATATAGGAAGCCATGCTGACTGCTTTAAGTATGGTTTTAATAAGACTATGTTTATATGTTTCACGTTTTTTTTCTCATCTGTCTTTTTTGGAAAATTCTCTTGGAAACTTTGCTTTTGCTGACAAAACTTTTTGTGTTTTCTTGCAAAAAATGAAATATACAGTGGGTACGGAAAGTATTCAGACCCCCTTAAATTTTTCACTCTTTGTTATATTGCAGCCATTTGCTAAAATCATTTAAGTTATTTTTTTTTCCTCATTAATGTACACACAGCACCCCATATTGACAGAAAAACACAGAATTGTTGACATCTTTGCACGTTTTTCATGCAAAAGCTTTGCAAGCGCATGCATTTAAATACAATTTATTCTCTCGTCTCCCTCTTGCAAAAGTATTTTGATCCCCTGAAGAACTTTACATTCACTTACACAAATATTAAAATATGCAAATGTTTCATGAGTGTACACATTTTAACATAGTAATCCTCCCATCTTTCTTGCGCACAAAATAAAAATTTGTTCCCCTGAGAAATTCTGCATTTGCTTGCAAAACTTTTCATGCTCTTTTACAAAAGTAATACAATTCCCGTAAAACTTTGCATTCGCTCACAAAAGCATTGAACTATAGTTTTTACTCCCACTTCATATTTACTTGCACTTCACACAAAATGTTTACGAACAAAAAAATATTGAAATACTTTTGCTTTGCATTACCATGTCACTTTAAGGGCTCTTCTGGCAGGAGAAGAACTTTTCAAATTTATTAGCAATTCAAAAAAATTGGTTTTAAGAAAATTGCACCTTTTGAAATTCGCTCATATAAAATCTAATTATTTTATTACTCTAAATAATAAATTATATATATTACTGCTATATGCATTATACAAAATTGCACTACCATACAATAATTTATATATCACTGGCATACGTGATTATTGTATTGATATTTACGATTTAGTTTTTTGAATGCTAACACAGTTCTCAGGAGAAAACTTCTTAAGGAGACAGCCAGGTAACAAAAAATAAATAAAAGAAAAAATTAGCTGCTAGCGAAACAAAATGAATGAAATATAGTGAAATATTCTATATCTGAAATCTGTATGTTGACTAGTCTAGTCTAAACAGTTTATGCAACCGGCCCCAGGACATTACCATAGGGGCCAATACACAGCGGCTGTATTAGTGTCGCGGCCCCTTTAAGGAGCTGCTCCGTCCTGACGCCGGTGACGTGGAGCGCATAGTTTGTGTGTGAGATCCTGTGATGATGTTCACTGTCTGGGAGAGTCTCATCCGCTGTGATCCACTACAAATCTCCAGCGGGACTCATCTTCATTGACGGGGGGTTCCTTTCCAATGGCATGCCTTCAGTTTAGGCTTGAGTCATCTGATCGCGCGGGTTGTTCGGTGCGGATGTAGGATCCAGCACAGGGCCGGTGATGGTTGCGCATGAAGCCGGAGAGAGCAACAGAGGAGCGGCTGTGATTTCTGCGCTCCTTCGGTAAAGACGCCTCCACTTCCACTACTGAACCCATCACTCTATACAGCTTATAATGCACTACATAATCAACATTTAACTCTTTATATTGCTTTATTTTTAAACTGTAAAGTTATTGTTAACCATGTTATTGTGTATTTGTTATATTTAATGAAGCGATTCATATATCTTAAAGATGGGTTTTTAGTAAACACATTTATTAAAAATTTTAAATATATTTCTATTGTATATTGTGTAAATATGTTTTATTAAAAATGTGTATGTATATATATATATATATATATATTAAATAAACTTTAGATGCATTTTCTATTCTAGTAAACAAAATGTCTATTATATATTGTGTAGTATTGTTTGCATAACAATTATAGTAGTATTATATGCATTATATGTACTATTATGCACAAACACATGTATATGTTATATAAAAAATAAAAAAGTACATCTTTAAATATTAAATATATATTGTAATAACTTTAATAAACACCTTTATTTTATATTATTTTGTGTATTGTTTGTGTAACTATTACATATATTTTATTATTATTATGATTATTATGTAAGATATGTAATATATAATGTATAATATAATATCATATATTATTCCCATACATTTGGGTTTAATAGTAAATTTGGTAACTTTACTATTACTCTAAAATGTGAAAAGTAGTCATGATGAAGAATAGGTGTGTCCAAACGTAAGTCTTGTAGTTTGCATGTATAGTATTTGCAACACAATATGCATATTATTTATATGCTTTTTACTGCTTAACAATTAGAAGCTGCTTTGGCATTTCGTTGTTTAATGTAATTACAAAGAGAAGTCCGTTTTAAAATGTCACATTAGTGTGCCACAACAGTCAAATGTTGTGTAGTTTTTGAGTTTTCTGTCTATCATGTGTTTTGATTGTAATGAGTGTGTGAGTTTGTCTACAGCTGATTCCCCGTGTGTCAACTCATCTGAGCACACAACACACCCACAACATAATCAGCTTCAGCGGGTTTGAATAAACACCTTCCAGATGAGCAGCACAAGATGCCAGCACCTGAACTACTAGGTAATGATGTGTGTTTTACAACACAGATCACACTTCATGAGTTTCATGCATCTCTCTACACTAACAAAAAAGCACCACAGTACTACCATGTAAGTGTAAATTTAAACTATTTTAATAAACACCATAACTTTTTATTAAAACACAATTATTTTATTTAAAAATCAAAAAATATTTCAGTGTGTAATATTGTTTTAATAACATTTATTATTATTATGCATTTTTATGTATATACTATGCATTTTTGTGTATGTATGATATTTTATGTATATATAAAAATGTTTTAAAAATATTTATTGAAATGTAAAAAAAAAAAAGAAAAGTAAAATAAAATAAACAAATATATTTATATATTTTAGGTGTTGAACGACTTCTGATTTTTTAAAGTCGACTTTTATCTGATGAAAGTCGACTAGTCGCTGATGACGTCATTAATTAACAAATAAGTCTGGAGCTGTGATAAACACCTTGTGCACAGCTATGGCATATGACACAGCGCTGCCCACATGGCTATTGCTCCTATAACAGCTCATTTTTAACAGTTCTTTTGTCTTCGAGTCGTTATGTTTCTCACAGATTGTAAAAGGGAAGTCCTTCAAAGATGTCTTACTTATCCTGTTGCGCCCTCTATAGGACCAGCGACTAGTCGACGTCAAGCTTAAAGCGTCATGGCAGAGCATTGAAGTCAACTAGTTGATTAGTCGGTGCAACCCCTAATATATTTATATTCTATAAAAGTGTTTTTTAACACCACTTAGTTGTGAAATGTACATTTAATTTGACCTACACCACTGTTTTCTCAGCAGAGACACTTGTGTCCTTTAAACTTTAGGGCAGCGTTACCTCTCTCTTTGGTTTGTGGTTGACCTGTTTTGATCACCAGATACATGGCCTGAAAACACAGCGTCCACATGAGACTGAGCGGACAGACTATTTTGAGCTGCTCAGGTGTTTCTTAATGAACTGAATAAAGCACCAGGCTGCTGTTTTTAAGCAGACCTGTTTTTATTTTTAATTCATGAACTAGATCGATTAATTAGGCCATGCATTTAATACTGCATTAGATCTAATGCCTTTAAGCCTGTGATTTTATTTCAAATATGACATGGAGCAGACATGGAGGTGATGACCCCTCTGATGGAGGAAGCAGGAGGTGAGGAGGAGGAAGATGTAGACGTAGATGAAGACTCCGAGCACCTGCCACAAGGCATCACGTGAGTCTCAACTGGTGTCTCACATCAGGGTTTCTTTTGTAGTTTATAGGTGTTTGTTTGCAAACAACAATTTCATCTGTAACAAAAAAAAATGTGTGTATACATAAACAGCATCATATTGTAACCTCTATCATTTCTGACATCTCTCTGATTTAATTAACAACATTAATGTGGACAAAACATCCGTTTTCTCTGTTCCTCAGGTTTACTCAAACCCTGCTGCATCTCTTAAAGGGGAATATCGGCACAGGGTTGCTTGGGCTTCCTCTAGCAGTGAAGAATGCTGGGATAGTGGTATGTAACATCTCATCTTCCTCTGTGAAAACTTATGAAACTTATGATAAACCCAGTCTAGATCAAACAGACCCTAGCTTTTCTTCTTTTCTTCTTCTCAAAGTCCAAAACTGACCCTGAATCTGACTTACAGACTCTAAAAACCTGAAAATGCTTGAGGGGAGTAATCAATGTAGTTGTTGTTCCCACAAAATACAGTTGCAGCTTTATTGCCCCTGTAATTAGATTTGTTTGTTTTGACCATCGTGTCCTGATCGCCGGATACTGACTGTTTAATGGCTGGACAGGTTCACATGTGAGTTTAAAACAGGTCAGACTGGTTTACAGTCTAAACTTGTATAGTCTGTAATGTTTGCTGACAGCCCAACTGATGTTGGTTTGTAAACGTGTCAGTCCACAAACTCTATTGCCGTCATAAAGACCTCATAGAGTAAGCAAAGTTCACGCTGAGAGAGAACGATAAGGCTTTATTGCTCTAGAAGACACTTAAAACATTTACATTTAGTCATTTTGCTTTTGTTAATTGTATAATAAATAAAATGAAAACAAGTAGATAGAATACAAAAAGATTAGAGAAGCTAGTGTTAGTTTTTTTTTATTTTTTTTAATTTTTTTAAAGGGGTCATAGGATGTGGTTTAAATTTTTCCTTTCTCTTTGGTGTGTAACAAGCTCTTGGTGCATAAAGAAGATCTGTAAAGTTGCAAAGACTAAAGTCTCAAATCCAAAGAGATATTCTTTATAAAAGTTAAGAGTCAACCACGCCTACCTAAAACGGCTCGTTCTAACACGCCCCCACATACCTACGTCACGATGTGGAAAGATTTGAATAACGCCGCCCAAATGTTCACGCAAAAAAAAGAAGGC